ACTGTTAACGCATCAGATTCATAACACGTCGATTGTCAATTTGTCGTCAACCTGAAATATAGACGCATTACTTATCATACGATTAATATTATACACTTATAATTAGAATAAGTATTTGTCAGTGCTTCTTTTTACTTGTTCTCATGTTGCTGCTAACTAAATAAACAATAACAATCATAATAAATTTATATTTGTAGATTATCGCTTTTGCCATCAGCGTCGCATGTTCATATCGGTCGACGTGCTTCATTTCTTATAAAGAAAAAAAAGCTATCTACGTTTTTATCTGGAATAGTAACGCTTATCGTAACATACAAAATTTCTTCCTGTTTATTGTATTCGTTTCGAGCAAAGACGATAAGTTGCATACAATAAAATATGGTAACCATAAAACCCAAAACAAATGCGTAACGTACGCGTCACGCGATCATCCAATAAATCATTCCAATAGTAATAAACGCCATAAAAAATAAAACCGAAGCAACAAACCAATTCGTCCAAACTCGTCCAAACTCGTCCGTCGAAATGCAGCGAGAGAGAGCAGAGAATCACCGGGTAACTTAGTCCCGAGCGCAGCCCAAAAAATGACGGGTATCGATCCGCGTATAAAAACTCGCCCCCGTAGAAAAATGTTCCCCGGCGGTTGGTTACGATTAGCTCGCGAGCCGTGGGATCACCCGAAATTATCATTATCTAGCGCCATTCACCGGGAGGGAGATCCCCGTGCGCGGATACACACGCTGTGTCCTCGTGCGTGCGCGGCTGGCCGCAACACGCGCGGCCCGAGACGCAAACTTCCCTCCCGACGCTCACACGTGAATGGGAAAGAGCTTGCTCGCGAACAGGGAAAAAAGGTACCAACCACAGAGAGACAGGACGGCTGTATTGCATCGTCGGTGCGCGTGGAAGACCGTACGTGTAGGCGGGTGGCGGTGGTTGCTCTCGTCGTCGGTGTCCCTGTGCGCGCGTACGTGGTACAACCTTTATTCGGCGTGGCTGCAGTTTTACCTCCTACACGTTTTTGTCGCGAATCGCGCGCATACTGTTATATGTATATATATGCGCGAAGCCACGCTGCTGGCACGTACATGCCACTTTCCCTTTTCAAAATCGATTTTGGCGCCGTGCGCCCCGCCGCCGCCGGCTCAGTCAACGATGTCGACGCTCCTACGTCGGGCCAGGGCCGTGTGCACTTGCCGCAACGCCATTCCTTCTTATTACAATTCTTTTTTTTCTTTTGAAATGTTATAACATAAATTTTATTTATTGGTTGATAGCGTTTGTTTTGAAGACTTTCTTGCATTTTGCGGCGTTATTGGGATTGAAGGGTGGATACTTTTGAAATGTTTATTGAGAATTGTTTTTTTAATGTATCAACGATGTGGACGTTGTAATTGTTATTAGTAAGCTGAGGGATAATTTGAAGAATTTTTTTCTAGAATTGTTGGAACGTTTCTAATCGACTTAAAATGGTGGTTCCCTTTAATTCTCAGTTGACGGGTGGTTAACCTAGTAGCATCGTTTAATGTGGAATTATGTAAATTGTGTACAATTTTGTAAATTGTTTTGAACGGAAAAGTGACTTGATTTTTCAGTTTCTAGTTAGCAAGGCCTAAAAAAAGTATTTCAAAATATATAACCGTTGACCGAAGATAAATGAATATCGTCTTCTCTTAAAAACGGAATACTACATCGCAACCCTCCAAACCATGATACCACGATACACAAACAAACGTCAGTAACAGGAGCATAGAACCGGAAACGAATGATAATGAACGCCGGCTTCTCCGTCGCGTCCCGAAAAAATCGGCGCCCACCCCGCCAGCTAATTACCCTCCCGCCCTACAAGTCGGCCGCCGTAGGCCGCGTAAATTTGTTCCATTTTTACACGGCAAGCGGCGCGCAACGAGTCCCAATTCCCTTCACAATTAACCGCACCGCATTACGACCCTCGAACTTTTCGTCAACTACTCACCCCACCCCACCTCTTGTACTTCTACCCCTCCTCGGCCCCGTCGTCGCTGCTCGCGTCGTGTTCGTCCGAGTCCATTGGCTCGTTAAACGCAGAAAAAAGGAGTCGGAACAAGTCAGACGAAGAAAAAAGAGTCCGAAAAAAGGTGTCTTAAGCGAGATCAAAAGCTCTTCCACGGGGGTGACCCGTGGTCTGCGGTCGTCGCGCGTCCATCCCTGTCGGTATGCGCCTCGGGAAAGGTCTCTCGCTCTCTCTCTGTCTCTCGGACTGTCCTCCACCCCCGTACCACACCTCGCTATGCCTCTCTTTCCATCCGACATTTTTTCCGTCTCTTCTGCTTTTCCGCCTGTTCCCGCGTGTGTCTGCCGGTGTCTCTGTCTCTCCTCACCCCGGTCTGTCTATCGCAGCGGACGGACGGACGGGGCGCGCTCCGCACGAAAACACCACCTTTCGTTAAAGGTGAACGGACGAAATCGCGGGTTACACGTGCGTGCAAGATTCGACGAGGGTGATGCGTCGGCGGGTGTGCAGGGCAAAGGAAGAAGTGGAGAGAGACAGAAGGCCAGGCCGGAGCCGGAGCCAGACCAGGCCAGGCCACGCCAGGCCAGGCCAGGGCATGGCTGCTGGTCAGGAAGAGGGTAGCGAGGGAAAGAGGCACAGAAAGGGTTGAGGGTGGCGATGTTGCTGGTGATGGTGGTGGTGCTGGGCTAGCTCGTTCGTTCCTCCGCGCCACGGTAGGGGAGGGAAGAAGAGGAGTAGCAGGTGGAAAGGGACGAGGCGGCGGAACGGGGGGAGGGACTCGTGCCGGTGGAGAAGACGGACCGCGCGAGCCGAACGAAAGCAACGATATCAACCGGTCTCCCTCGCGCGCTTTCGCGTGTACACCTCACACCACCAAGGCTGGGTGCCGCCGAAAATCCCCAAAAGCACACGAAACAAAGGCCTGGCTCTCTGTCCCTCTTTTCGCCCTCCCTCCATCACCCTCTGCCTCCTCATCCTTTGGCTCTCTCGCAGGAACCACACGCGTGCACCACGAGCTCAGCCCTTCCACACAGACGACGGAGACGTGTCGACTTCCTCTCTTTCGCTCTTCATCATCCCTCCCTCTCCTCAACCCCTTCTTTCTAGCATTCTCTTTTTCTATCTATTCACTGGTCGATCGTGTGCTTTCTTTTTCTGCCTTTCTTTCTTCCTTTTTTTTTCGCTTCTTTCTTCCTTTCTCTGGCTTTCTCTCTTTTTCCGATGGCGCGCGCGCGCAGGGCATGTGTGTGGAAAGCGCGAGCACGTGCACGCCGAAGAGTTCGCTTCGACGAGCCCCGAAGCTCGATAGAGAGACCTGGCGCCGCGGGAACCCGTTGTTCCACGGTAATTGTTCGGTTAAGGCTTTTTCGGGGACTGGCATTAGTTCCGTCACGTGAGTCCACCGCAACCTTTTGTCCACCCTCGGCCGCTTGTCGACTCGATACCGAGGCGCGCGCTTTAAGATTTTACATCGATCGATCAATTTCTTTTTTGGCTTAACCACACCTGGACTTTTGTGTATGGATTACTTCTTCTTGTCAAGGGGATTCTTTGGTTCTTCTTAACGAGGTTGGGGATACGGTTGGGATACCTAGTGCAGGTAGGGGGTTGTATATTCGAGCTGACTTTCGAGGATTTTGTTTAAATATTTTGAAATGTTTTCATTTGGTATTGTTAGATGATTACTTTGTTGAATTATAGGTTTGTCAAGGATAAAGTTGATGATACAAATTATTAACACACAGTCCCGCCAATCAGTTCATTTTACATTCGCTAACAAATTTTTATTCATTAATTCTTCACTGACAATGGCTCCAAGTTTGTATGCAACATCAAAGGTAACACCCGTCACGCAATTTGTTAACGAGACACATAAAAATCAGACGGACGTAAACACCATGGATAACTTTAAACGCGATGCGATGTGGCACGTGTAATTATGCAATTACATACACGAATTGAGCACAGGATGCGCCAGTAATTGATACAAGGGAGAGGGAATCGTCGTTTACCAGTAAACGATGATATTAATGAATCAAGGACGAGTTAACGAGATGTCCTCGTTCGAAGGAATGGAGGGGTTGTTTAATTATCTCTTAGGAAACGTGTGTTCGGAATATCGCGATAAGAAACGTCGAGTATCGCTATTAATCACCGTGTCTTCAGCGAGCTGTAATAATTGGCCAGGCACGAGCTAGGTCGGTCGGTGCGTTTTCTTCAAGGTTAGTTGAAAGCCCCCGGCGCTGAGTGGGTCGGCGGGCTGAAAAATCGATATGTACGAAAGTGAGAGTCTCAGCCGTTTCACCCTCCTTTTCGTTCTCCATGCTCTCCTCGTCCTCTTCTTACTTGCCATTTGGTTCATTCATGTTGCGTTGCGGCTCAGGGCCGTGGCTCTTCGCTGGATCCCGCGATCTTCCGCACCCAGAACTATGATTTATTTATTTTTACTGATGGAGATTCTTCAACAAAGAAAATTTATGGAAATGTTGTGTCGTAGAATTATATACATAAAATAAAATAAAATTCGTTTCCTTCGTTTATTGTATACCTTGATTGTGTGCCTTCATTGTATGGAAAGTGATTTGTGTTTTAAAATAACGTTTTGGGTGGTACGAAATAAAATTGTAATTTAAAATTACTTTGCAAGGATAGAATTTAAGTTTGATTTAAAAGGTAGAATATATTTTTAGAATTCATTTCTCGAAACACTGTTCATTCGGGTTACTCTGTATTGTGCGAAAGGAGATGATAAATTAGTGAAACGTTGTGATGAGTAAGGGCATATGTTTGAAAACATATGGAAAACGTCAACATTCGCATTCTATATGATAAATTATATTACGAATAATTATATCGAAAATTGGTAAAATACTTAGCAATTTGAATAGAATCGAATGTCAAGGTAAATTTGATGTAGGACGGTAAAATGTTAATACAACCTCTAAGACAATTTTTGAAAAATATCGTATCGTATCATACTGACGTTAAATTTGTATTATTTTTACAGTGTGGCCAGCTCGAAGGTCTTAGTCAGCAATCTTCCAGGCCATGCAAGGGTAGAGGACATCGAAGCCTTGTTCGGGAACATTGGTCAGTTGCAGTCCGTCGAGAAACTGTCTTCTCGCGACCCTAACACACAAACTGTTCTCGTTGTCTATGAGACACCAGAGCAAGCACAGCAGTGAGTACCTTCATCTTTTGTAGCAGAGAATAGTAAAGGCACTTCTAACACCTTACCTTCTCTGGGATCATGCTACTTCAATATTAGTTTGAACCATAGTGGCTTGTAGGCAAACTAAGCAAAAATCAACAGTTTTAATAAGGTTAAGAAATTTTACTTAGTTTCGATTAAACATGGCTAATAGAGTTAATGTATTATTTTTAAGTACCTTTTAGTCTTAATACCATATTATTAAATTTTAGATTATGGTCGTTTGTCAAAATATTTAATTACTCTATAGATAATAATCTTGCATCTGAGGAAAAAGTTTTAGTTATTTTTTGTTTCTAGTTATCGCTATTTTTCTAGTTAAACTTTCTATTTATATCATTTTCATAAGCCCAACATAGCGTATCCCTTTGATTAATATGCACTAAAAAATATTTATATTTATTTTAGTGAATTTAGTCACATGATTTACTTGGTAATATAAGGGAAAGGATTAACAGTCTGAGGATAAAATCTCTAGCAATTCTCGATCAGTACCGATGCTCGGAGGCTTGTTTAAACGTACATAGCCGCGCTACACTTGTAATCTATATATAACCCACATGGTTCATGTAGCACCGTTTCCTATAATGCGGAATGTATCTCTCGTTGCGCGGAATCCATTTATTCCATCAATTTTTATACATTTAACGCAGGGCCATATGATGATACGTTTAATTCAGCTGGATTGTCCCAATTATTTAATTCAATATTAACAATTGGAATAATACAAATTCAATTTTCGCTTAAAAAAAAAATCAAATATTTGAATTCTTCAGTGCACTATAGTCACGTAAGCGTCAACAAAATGATAACGAGATTCAAGCTTCAATTTCAATTAAATAAAAACTATATGATCTAAGATTTACGTAATACTTATACCTTCTTCCAAACCATCCTGAATCTGACATATTTAAACGAAATTACTTCTGTCCTACGTCATGTTCTAAAACTAAGCTTATCGAAACAATATTTAGTACTTCACCTGTTACATGGTTTTATCATAATATCATTTTTGAACGAAAGTATTAGTATATTGATTGCTCGACGCGTCAAAATTTCCGCGCAAGTTTCAACAACGGGACGTGTCGTGGTTCCGAACACCTCTCCGCAGTATCTGCAGTTTTATCCCTCGCGTCCCAGATTCGGGCATCCATAATTCACGGACGGTTTTCCCATTTATAGGGCTGTGAACCAGTTTAATGGCCACGAGTACGAGGGTAACCCACTAAAAGTAGAAATGTCTACGGCGGAGAGCCGACGAAGAGGCCGCAGCCAGCGCAGCGGCGTCGCTTACACCGGAGTTTCGGGTTCTGGGAGGCAAACGGATTTCCCACTTCGTATACTTGTACAATCGGACATGGTAGGCGCTATAATCGGTCGCCAGGGATCTACTATACGTCAGATCACACAAATGACGCGGGCACGTGTCGACGTTCACCGGAAGGATAACGTCGGCGCTGCGGAAAAAGCCATCACCATCTACGGCAATCCGGAGAATTGCACAAATGCTTGCAAAAAAATACTGGAGGTCATGCAGCAAGAGGCTAACAGCATAAATAACAAGAGGTAAGAAGATTCGACTCGTGAGTTCTGATTCGCTTCCTCGAAATGTTTGTTGAGCCGCTAGATCATTGAGTAGAGTGAATTTGGGGGATCAGGCAAATTTCATTTTAAGATGGATTAGTGGAAAAGTAAGATATCGTTTGTTGGAAAATATTTGGTTAATTTAATGATTGGAACGAAATGTTGCCAATCGAAAGTTATCATTGAAGAGTTCTTCTGTGAAATACTGTCAATGCTAAAATTTGAAAGTTCTTTTTATTAATTAACTCTTTACATTGTTCTTATATTCCTTTATTAGTCTAGCTTATGTAGTTTTACATAAAACTTACTTTCCATAACTTATCCATGTATACATTTGTAGTTAATATCTTGTGTAATATGATGATTTGTATTTTAACAGCACCGAGATTACTTTGAGGATTCTCGCACACAACAACTTGATCGGCCGAATAATCGGAAAAGGTGGTACTACGATCAAGAGAATTATGCAAGACACAGATACAAAGATTACTGTTAGCAGCATTAACGACATTAACAATTTCAATGTCGAACGTATCATCACAGTCAAGGGTAGTATCGATAATATGAGCAAAGCTGAGTCTATGATCTCCAGCAAATTGCGCCAGAGTTATGAGAATGACTTACAGGCGATGACGGTGAGTATTATAAGTATTTTTATTAACACTAAAACTACCGAGCAATTAAATTGACTTTTTGCAATTCCTCTATAGAAACTTCACGAGTGTATCTATTGAGACTTTCTTGTATTTTTTTTTTTTATAATTACAAAAAGAAGAAATCAGAATAGGTCAGTTTGATCCGCTTGGTAGTTCTAGTGTTAAAGAAAAAATGTCAAGATCTGAGGTTCAGGAAGCTAATAAGAATTTCAATGGTCCTATTACAGCCTCAGAGTATGATGTTCCCTGGTTTGCACCCAATGGCTATGATGTCCACCGCGGGTATGGGATACAGCTCACGTGGTCCCGCTTTATACGGCTCCGGATCCATTCCTTATCCGTACCAAGCCAGTTTGCCGACTCAGCAGGGTGTTCCTGCCGCTGACACCCAAGAGACTGTTTTTCTTTACATTCCTAACGGTAGCGTAGGCGCTATAATCGGCACCAGGGGGTCACACATCAGAAATATGATTAGATTTTCCGGGGCAAGCGTGAAAATCGCGCCGCTCGAACAAGAAAAGCCCGTGGAGCAACAGACTGAGAGGAAAGTGACCATCGTTGGATCGCCGGAGTCTCAGTGGAAGGTAAGCGAGCGTGACTTTAAGAAGTTACCGATAATTGTCATTCCAATCAGTATTTTAGTTGTAATCTTTTACTGAGAAAATTGAAGAAATATCTGTTCTTTTAGTCGTTTATATATAATTGCACATGTTTTTTTAATTTTTGCACGATAAAGTGTTTAAATGTTTTGTAACGAAAATAATAAGAAAAGAAAAATGCTATAGTATGTGAAGAGAATGTTAGTAAAACTCGCGCAAGATATAGTGCTTGAACGATACAGAACAGAACAGAATCCGGCGTGGCTCGGCGACTAGGAAATAGTCCCCTTTTATCAATGGGAAATATTCTAAATCGTCTCGGTTCTGTAACGTAGAATAGGAAGTTTTTTTTCTTCTACTATCCATTATCCCCCTGCCTCATTTGAACAGATGCTTCGTTATTTATATTAGCATCGGGTTAGATCGGGCAGGAAAATCAAATGAAGGTGTTTTCCCGTACTGATGGCACATTTACATATCTGTGCACGTTGGTTCCGTTACAACCTTCAACATTCTTCCTGATATTCGAGAATAAATTTTTGAATGCTCCGCAAGCAACTACATCGTGGAATCGCGCGTTTCATTTTCAGGCGCAATACTTGATTTTCGAAAAGATGCGAGAAGAAGGTTTTGCCTCCGGTACCGAGGATGTCAGGCTAACGATCGAGATAATGGTACCGAGTACTCAAGTTGGACGAATCATCGGCAAAGGCGGCCAGAACGTTAGGGAATTGCAACGCGTTACCGGAAGTGTCATCAAACTATCGGAGCAGCAGTCCACGTCGCCTTCTGCCGACGAAGAGGCCACCGTCCACATAATTGGCCCCTTCTTCTCTGTTCAGGTAATTCATTCGTTGCGTTTTCTTTCTCAAATCTTTAACACACATATTTGCAAGAAAATTTGTCAACACTTAAAAATATAAATAAGTTACTTCACTCATATTATAATTAAGAAAAGGTTTTGAAAAATAGAACACAAAAAATGCATCTTAATACAATGCAAAATTTTTTTTAATCTCTTGATACTCTTATTACTCGTTTAATACATTAATATATTTACCAAATTATTCTTATTTATAACAATTATAATTTGTATAATGAAATAAGCTCTATATAATTGCAACTGAATAACATTCGAGAAAAATAAAATATTTCAACAACCTGACGCACACAGTAAATGTACAGTTTGTTTGCGAGTGTTTTATAAACATTTCATCGAATATTGTTCTTAAAAAAATCAATCTAACCAATGATTTCCACTATTTTACAGTCGGCCCAAAGAAGAATCCGCTCCATAGTTCTTCAGCCAGGTGCATCTGGAGCAGGTGCTGCGCGCGCTGGTCGTGGTAGCAGCCAGGAAGGTGGTCCTCGTACTCGAAGAGACGGTAGTGCCACGTCTCAGCAAGGTGGCACAGCAACGACACAGCAGCAGCAGCCACAGCAATCCAGCTCATCGCCATCGAGCCAGCAACAACCTCAGTCTCAGTAACGTCACTGAAACATAATCTGACGCCGACTTACGCCTCACAGAATCCGTTTTATTCGGCGGGGTGGCCTCGTCGCTTTGACATTCTCTCGTCTACAAGAGGCTACGTGCCGCTACCTCCTTCTCGCGGGGCACGTAACCTTCGAGATTGCTCACGGAGCGGCCGAGCGATGCGCGTATTACATCCATGGAATCTTTCCATTGATACACGTCAAACTGTCACGCAATAGTAGCCGATACTTTTCAAAACCTCATCCATTTGATTCATATACGAACGGGGAGTCAGACATGTGGCTACGATCGATGGCGTACTTCACAACCTTTTCTTCCTTTTCTTCCATTTAATTCGAATGAACGCATTGAAACCACAATATTTACAATAGCAACTGATCATTTCACGCAATACGTTTATCAGATAGAAACGACCAAAAAAATTTCATTGTTCATCAATCGCCATCAATTGTAATCACCCACTGTCTCGCGTCGCGTCATCAGTTTCTCGAGTTCCTCGCGGTTAGAAGAGTCCCACGCGACGCGAGCACCGTACGTGGAGGACCAAATGGAGGAAACGCATGTGTGTTCTCAAAGAAAAATGTGGCACGCGCGAGACGATGTGAGAGAGAGAGAGAGAGACTTTTTGTTTAGTTGTTTGAGCTGGTTAATGTTAACCATTCGATTCTGCCGATAGAGACAATGACACGAACACAGCCGAGAATAATATAGATAGATTCATAGACACCCAGGTCCTCTCACCTCTTCTACGCGCGACGTGTCGCGTTTCGTCGTGAGTCCGCTCGAATCGTGGCCGAAGCGACGGGTGACACTCGAACGAATCGATTTCGCAGCGTTAAAACGAAACCATTTCGTCGATGAAACCGGATCTATAGAATACGATGATAAGAGAAAGAAAATAACAAAGCATACACAACCTTATTACCTCATTCATTAACGGTTAAAGATTTAACTAATGATAATGAAAAGCGGAACGAGAGAAAGCATAAAGAAAAACCAACTAATCTTATGAGAAATGATGATGAAAGAAGTCTACCT